AAAGAAAAAGACTCTGTCTTATCCTTAAGTCGTTAATCACTGTCTGTAAGACAGCTGTTCTTGATGTATGATATCCAATAAGATTTTCTATGATTCTCTCTGAACGCATTTTATCAGAGTCTTCAAAGGCCATAACCACATTTTAACACGGGTGAGATGAATACTTGTGGATGAGGTAGGCATAGTACAGATTGTATTTGTTTCCATGTCGTTATTTTTCCATAAATAATGCCTGAATGATGCAGCCATATGGTCCTAATCATTCAGTTTGTTAATATATTAATTCAGCGGGATAGCAGAAACCTTTTTTAAAAAATGTTCTTCCTGTAAATTCTATGCAAACACATTCCCACATTTATTCAATTTGTGTTCCCATGTGAATGACAGATTGTTTTGGATGACCTCAGCATCTGGATGACTCCATCTGCCGGGACAGATTCGGACTGTATGAAGTGGTATTTATGGATGTCTTGTTAAGGGAAACCAGTTTCACCGCTGCTTTGACCTGTGGTGTGAGAAAGCTGCAGCTGTGTTTGCGGCTGTATTCGCATAGCATTTTGATGTAGTCAAATAATTTTTTTTTTTAAATATTGTGCCTAAAAGAGAAATTACAGTATGTATAGCCTTATATGTTAATTGTAGTATTGTATATTATTTATTTTATTTTATATTTTTTATTTAATATGAATTTTATTATATGCAATAATTTAAATTTTTTTTGTAAAAATCTTTCTAGCAACCTGAAATGCAATTATGCAGATGCAACCTGAGATAGTTACATTTGTACTTTTTTCAAATTCAAAGTGACTTAGATTTGCAATCAACCTATATACATTTTTGTTAGTTCATGCATTCCCATGCATTAATTTTTTTGTTTGTTTTTTGAAGTTTAATTTAGTAAATTACACTGGATTTTGAGTTGCTTTTGTAACTCAAGACTATCCAATTTATCATAAATGGTAAAGGCTGTGCTTTCTCGCTTCTTAGGAAAGTGAAACTTGAGCCTGACATGTAATAGGAACTCGAAATGCAAACAACATTGTGTACAATGTGTAACAATTATGTAATATTAGGCAAGGATTTCTGTATTTTAGCTAGACATGTCATCCAGAATACTGCTGAGAGATCCTATTCTGCATGGAAGGATAACAAATCTTTTTATTGGTTCCTTTTACAGTGAAATCCCATTTACTAAGCTACATTAAGGTCAACAGTAGATCAAGTGGTTTTTATATTTACATAATGCCCTTTCTGTCTGATGTAATTCCCACTTCAATAGGGCCGGTCGGTGCTGTAAGTGTCTGCCAGGGCAAATTGTTTTGATTTCCGAAACTTCATATCAAACAGCGCTTTTATGTTCTGAGATTCCTCGGGTAAGCAGAGTTTTGACTAAGTGTCATGTTGAATTAGGATCAGTATCCTTGAAGAGGCCCAGCTACCTTTAAGCGTAGCTCTCTGCTTCTCCTCACATGTTCTTGGGGACTCATGGGAAGAAACTGCATTCATTTTCCTGGATTAGTGACCTCTATTGGGGAGCTCATTTTTGTAAGGCTTAATCCAAATGTTAACCTAAACCAGGAGTTCTTTTAATGGATTTTAATGTTATACACTTTGAACTTTCAATGGTTTGTCAAACACACCTGCTTCCCTTCTGTATCACTAATATACCCACATTTTCTTTGGTCTTTCAGCTCTAAGTCCTTTGATCTCCAGTTTCTCCCATCCTGGTGTAAGGGACTACTCTCAGCTGACCCTTGACCTCACCAGGAATGAACTTATAGTGGGAGCAAGGTAAAAACGTATATAATATAATATCTGGCCAACGTTTGGGTTAATGCATGAAACAGATCAATACAGATACACAGTTTATATATTTATATATTAATGTTTATATGAAATATGTTTATATTACAATATAATTTAGAATTTTTATTGTTATATCATTATATTTAATTTGTTGAGGTAATATGTATTATTTAAAAACAAAATATATATACAGGTGCATCTTAATAAATTAGAATGTCGTGGAAAAGTTCATTTATTTATTTGTGTTTGTGTTTCAAACTATTTGTGTTTTGAATTTCAAATGCTAGTAATATATATGTGTGTGTGTGTGTGTGTGTGTGTGTGTGTGTGTAAATAAATGAAAAACAGAACCATTTTCACTAGAGGTCTCAGACTTTTGGACCCCATTTTATTTTTAATTTCCCTTGGCATATTAACGGTACATTTTCATTGCATCTCCAGTTGATAGATCATATCAATCTAACCTTTTTTAATCTCTCTCTTATTTTATCTGCAGAAACTACCTCTTCCGACTGAATCTAAACAACATTTCACTAATTCAGGTGAGACGCATACCTACAGTGCTTATTAATGTTCAGCAGTCTCTACTAGATCATGATTCCTGTTTGATGTGGCCTTTGTGACTTTGTCTAGGGCTGTCTGTAAGGCCTTTGGGTGTTAGAGAAGGCTGGCTTATGGTTATTGATATTGAAATGAATGGGCCAGTTCCCAAAACCGCCTGGACAGACTTCAAAGGATGCGGCATTGCCCGGCACAGTGAGCGAGGGGCATCCTTAGCAAAAGTTTCTACTCTGGCTTGGAGCTAAAACCTCTCAGAAGGTCAGCCAGGACTGTCTGAGGTCTAAATAAAGCAGTGAAATGAGACTGTGGTGGCTTTCCCACCTGTTGCTGCGGTTGAATATATCTCTTTTATTCCCCCAGTAATCTCTGTGCCTTGTCTGGTAGATGTACCAGACATTTATTGAATGCTCTCACTCACAGACCACTCATAATGTTTCGTGCATGAAGCAGCTTGTGGTTGAAGGATGAATAATATTTGAGTATCAGTCAGTTTCATTCTCTCTCCCCTTAGATACCCAGTGCACTTCTGGATGCACAACAAATAGGTACTAAATAAGTCACTCCTTTCATATATTCCCTTGTCTGCGTCTTGTGTTTTGTTTCAATGACGATACTATATTTGCAGCAGTTTTCTCCACTGTCCCAGCGGAGAGGATTAGGTACATTTTCATTTTCCTCAGCCTCACCTTCGCCTGTGTATCTCTCCTGGGCGATTCCAAACTGTGAATAAACAAGGCCGATCTTTCTTCATTTCGACTAACTGGAGTATCACAAGTGGAGGCAGGGTCCAAATCGATGCGCAGCACCTTGCCAGCTTTTGAGAGTGTCTTTGCCTAAACTGCACACAGAGAGAGAAAATTTAAATAGGCAGATGTTAAAGGATGAAGAATGAGACACTAGTGATAGAATTAACCTGACAACACTAAGCATGGCTTCCTGAAATGTAACCAATTCATAAAACGCCATAATACATTTAGTGTTACAACAGTAAAGCCATGAAATAGAAAATCAAACAAAATCACTTAGGTTGCCCTTTCATAGCTCCCTAGACTAAACTGAGTTCTTGATCTTAATAGAATTGATGAAAAACTTTTGAGTTTACTCTACAGTTCAAATGTTTATGGTCAGTAAGATATTTTTGAAAGAAATTAATACTTTTACTCAGCAAGGACACTTTTTTAAATTGATCAAAAATTACATTAATGACTTTGTTGTTTGTTACCCCCCCAAAAAAAATGCTGGTCTTTTGAACTTTCTATTCATTGAAGAGTCCTGCAAAAAAACTATAGTAATGGCTGCTGATAATTCAACATTTGCCATCACAAGAATAAATTACATTTGAAAATAGAAATAGAATAGAAAATAGAAAACAGTTGTTTTAAATTGTAATAATATTTCACACTATTACTGTTTTTACTGTATTTTTGATCAAATAAATGCAGCCTTCATGAGCTTAAGAGATGTCTTTCAAAAACATAAAAAGAAAATCTTTCCAACCCCAAACTTTTGAATGGTGATATAATGGAGATATTAATAGATTTTTTTAATGTTAATTTAATTTTTATTGTTATTATCTAATGAGAAAATAATTGAATCCACTACAGATTTCTCTTGTGCTTTTAGATCCTTTATAGAATTTTTCTATGATTATAATTTAGTAACAAAAAACGCAGGAACCAACTAGTATTTTGGCAGATGCAACCATGAAACTTTTTGTTAGGGTTTCAGCACCTATATTTCAAATCTTGTAGCTAGAGATTCCATTATATGCTTCCATTTTATTCTTAGAATAAGCCATTGTTACTGAGCGCATTGATGTCTGTATAGTATCCTCTCTTATTCATTCATTCCTATCACATTCACACATTCTTCATCTTTTCATCCTGCTCGCTGTACTTTTGTCCACACTTCCACCTGCGTGCCACCTCTCTCCGTCTTCTTTTGTCCTTCTCCCCACACCATTAGAGCAATCCTGCATCTTTCTGCCAGGAGTGTAATGGGGCTGATAAGAAAGGCAGCTCATCTCAGAAATGTATGTCTTGGTGCCAAACATGCAGCCGTTGGCAAGGGAGAGCAACAGCTCAGGCGAGCCTTTTCAACTTTACCCAGGCTGGGATGGGGTGAAAAGAGCTGATTCTTACCCTTTGAATTATTCACTGCGCTGACCCGTGGGTACGCACCTGCTGTCCTCATTTCCGTGAAACTATGAATAAGGGAAATTTGCCATGGCCTGTTATAACTTTCGCTACCAGTCAAAAATTGGACACACGATTTTTAAATGCTTGAAGAGAAATTAGTTGTAGAACTTATGCATGCATAAGAATTTCTTTTAAAAAAAAAATAATAAAATAAATACATATATAAATGTGTACATATATACTATCAGTCAAAAATATGTAAGAATTAAGATTTTTTTTTTATGTTTCTGAAAGAAATATTTTATGTTCACCAGGGATTTATGCATTTATTTGATCAAAATATGGCAAAAATAGTATTCTGAAATATTATTACAATTTAAAATGATGTTTTCTATTTTGATATATTTTTTAAAAATATGATTTATTCCTGGGATGACAAAGCTAATTTTTCAGCAGTAATTATTCAGTCTCACATGCTCCTTTAGAAATAATTGTAATATCTTAATTTGGTGCTCAAGAAAAATTTATTATTAGCAATGTTGAAACTGGTATTGTAATAATATTTCACAATATTACTGTATATTTGCTGTATTTTTGATCTAATAAATGCAGCCTTGGTGAGCGTAAGATACTTATTGTAAAAACATTTAAAAAAAAACGTAATTATAACACATTTTTGGTCTGTAGGATCTATGTACATATAAAATATATAAATAATATATAAAAATATATTATATTATTGTGTGTTTCATGTATTATTATTATTTAAAATTATTACATTTATTTATATGTTTTAATTACATTAATTTATATAGATTTGATTTAATTTTATATAGATCTTTTTGGATCATATAGTTAAATAGGAAAAATATTTCTTTAATTCCCATACTTCCATTTCAGTTTTGAAAATTTTAATTCGGAAACCATTTGACTGGTATTGCAACTAAGCACTTTGAACACCAGCAACTGGATTTTCAGCAACTGCATTATGAATCAACCCAGGGTGCACAGAATTGATTTATGAAAATAATTTTATCTACACCATATTTTTATAACTACCACCATTGTCAAAGCATTAGACTTTTCTCCAGGATCCCAAACCTGTCTATCCTGAGACGGTGTTTTTTTCAGTGAGATCAGTGCGTGCTGTCTGTGCACCCTGTGTTGCTGCTGCTCTTTCCCAAGATCTAAACGGATGCATGAGGCAGCAGGATTCCACTGCTTGCGCCTCATGGGGGACTAGCCGTCTCATGGGATCAGGAACATCGGATGATGTTGGCGTCACTATGCTGGCACAATTGCACAAAGGTACTGTGATTGAGACCCACCCACATACTTCGCTCCTTCCGTGCCTCCCTGAGACTCCTTCACGCTGTAAGTAGGTTCTATTACATGAGCAATAGAAAGGCAACTCAGAACACAGATTCTGTCAGCTTCTCTTTTCTTCTCGGCTCTTGATCCCATCCCTTTGGTACGCATTTGCACAAATGGACCAGATTTGCACAGATCAGTTTACAATGTGGGATGAACTTCCTCTCTCACAATTGAGGCTACAGCATATAGCCAGTCCCAGCCTCCATAGACATTATTGAATCTGTCATATCTGACTAATGCAATTGCTCAGGAGAAATAAGATAATGACAGTTCATTCTCAGAGCCTACATTATTCTATTTATGTGCTCATGGCTATTAATTTACATTATGGCTGTATCTAATGTGAAAATAGATGTTCGTGCACCATGCTGTTCCGAAAAACAAAAGTTCAGCCATCATCTAAATGCTTTTTGCAAAATGAGGTGGAATAATTTCTCCATTCGCAAAGATGTAGATGTAGTCAGACAGATATATTAGGGTATGATTTTCCCAGGATTTACGCTACACCAGACAGAAGTTTGGACACACTTGAATGAGTTTATAATGATCTTTGATCTAAAGGCCTATGCTTACATTCTTTATATGTTTTGTAGACAAATATAAACAGGGCCTATGTACATTTTATTTTTGTACATGGGCACAATTATTTTATTTGTTATTTTATTTTTCATAAATTTGGTACACATGTGAAAATGTTTTTTTTTTTTTAAAGCATCATGCACCCTTATAAAGTTGGTTGAGGGAACTGCCAGAGTATGTTAAGCTACTTTGACCAAGCTAAAATATAAAAGAGTTTTAATTTGTTTATCATTTTTAGCAATGCATAATTCCTATCCTTGCATTTGTGTAATTTCCTAGTTTTGATGCCTTTACTGTTCCTTTAACATGTCACAGCCATATCACCCTGTAGCCAACGTGGTGCTTGAGGAGAGAGCCCATGATATGATTGTAAAGCGCTTTGGGTGTACAGCAATACACAATAAAGCGCTATGTAAATTATTCATTCATTCATTCATGTGGGAAATAGTAAAAATATAGAACAAACTGGTGTGTCCAAACATCTGACTGATATACCGAAGGGTCTCAAAATATAGAGGAGCTTAGATCATACACATCAGAGGCCCAGAACCTCTGGAGATGGATCCAGACCAGAAGCTTGACCTCAGGGTCACTGAAGAGTGATGTGATGTTTTGTATGGGGATGAAGAGCTATGGGAGAGGAGCGTTCACTTTACTAAAGAGTCACGAATGAGATAAAGTCCACGGTTCGACAGGACAGGAATGTAAACAGATGGGTCATGCATGAATAAGTTAGTTTGTGGAGTCTGTCTCAGTCTATCTCAAGTCTTCATCTTCCCTCACCTTTATCCAATGGACTCGCTTGCGTGCGACCACGTACTCATAATGACATCCTCCCTCCATCTCTCAATGGAATCGCTGTCAAATCTCCCCCTTCTGTCTTTGTTGAT